TATTCCATTCGGTTACTGTGTATATCTGGGTATTGTATGTATGTCTCCACTTTCTATGCTGAAAAGGTAATAAATAAATCATAATAAAAAAAAGTTTCATGCGAAACTGCAAATTTTACAACTGTAATGTCGTGGCTAGAGTGACTAAATTAATTCAGACAAACCATCCCAATTTAAAGGATCATTTAATATTACAATTATTCTGAATAGAGTAGTATTTAAACACATAATCTTGTAGTTAGGGAAACAGAGAACAGAGACTCTCCTCCTGCAATGTGATAGATGAAGTATTAAATAGAAGACTGTCAAAAGCGCCAGTCAGTTGTTGTTGGTGGAGGTACCGTCAGTCAGAGTCCATAGTCCTGAGTTCATTTCTCCACCCAGGCCTGGGTCCCCGGAACACTTTTCACAGTAGCATTGTCATCCTCTCTTCTTCTCTCCTGCAACCCAGCTCCCCTAGCCTTTTATCTACTTGCACTTACACAGCTTTCCATGGCCTGAGCCAGAGACGCAGTCCCATGCCAACTCCACACACACCTTCTTCCGAGCATTGTCTAAAAATGTCCAGTACCTGAACTTCTAGGTCGCATTGACCTAGCGCACATTTCCTTTTTCTAAACCTGAACAGAGCACACGAACAGTTCACATAAGACCCATAGGTTAAACAAGGGGGACCCAGCCCAAGATATTCTTGCTTGAGCAAGAAACAGATCAAGCTTTCGTAAACACTTAGCTCAGCCTTACATAACTATTACAAATAATATCTATATATGAAGTACATATAACATGCACAGAAAGTGCAGTGTTTATTCTTATTTGTGTGTGTATCCTCAGGACCCCCTGGTCCCCAGGGCGCAAATGGGCTGCCAGGGCTGACAGGTCATCCAGGAGAGAGGGGCTTCAAAGGTGGGTCAACTTTAAGCAGTTAGACAATATAGGTTGAAGGCAGCCTTGTTCCAGCTTCTAATTTAGAAAAACAGCAAAGACCACATTAGTGTAAAAGGTTCCTTTTGTTCCAGCTAATGTAATGAACATGTTTGTGTACAGCAGCAGGCATTAGCTTTCAGCTGCGGGTCCAGTGATGATCCCAGCATTGATGACCTGTTATCTCTTGTCAGGCAGCTGTGAAACCCAGCTGATGGATCCGTTATTTCACATGCCTTCTCATCTTTGTCAACGCACTGACATTTCCTACATGAACTCTTTATCAGGGCTGGACCTTTACTCAGCCAACAAATTATCTGGCTGAGCAGGTTAACAGTTCACTTACGTTAGATACACAATTTACAGTTTAAACAATTTTCAAATTTTACAGAACATCATTGGATATAGGACCAAGTTTTTTCTGAGAGAAGTCAGGCTGTTTCAGAGACACCTGGAGTCATGCCCATGTATTTCTGCAATCTTGGCTCTAGCTCTAGTTCCAGGAAAACATATTTCCAAATTCAAATTTTCAGTTATATTTGTATAGCACCAAATCACAACAAGTCGTCTCAGGACACTTTACAAACTAAGGTCTAGACCTTATTGTTATGATTATAGAGGTAAAGCCCAACAAACCCCCCTGAGCAGCACTTGGCGACAGCAAGGAGGAAAAACTCCCTTTAATGAAGAAACCTCCAACAGACCCCGACTTTTAGTGGGCGGACTTCTGCTTCCACAGGTTGGGGTGAGTAGATAGAGGAGAGACAAAAGAAGAAAAGCAACAAGACACAACAAACAACAACAAACTACCAAACACTGGGCAGGTTGATGTGGCCAGTGACTGCTCGTCAGAGATGTAGAGCTCCAGAGCCGGGGTAACCTGCAGAAAGGTACAGGGAGAGAGAGAGGACACACTA